GTGGTTGTTTTGTTGCTGGCCGAACGAGGGGGGAAAAAAGAAAACCATAAGCCATTTGAGTCGGTCCGGTGCCTGTCATGGCGTGTACCAATGCCGAGGCTCAGGAGGAGAGAACGGGAGAGAAAGGCTGTGGCCGCCATGGCCATAGCAGGCCGCATGGCAGAAGACGCCATGGCCATGGTGGACGTCATCCTTGGTCGTTCAACGAACAATTTGCTTGCTTCAGTCCCTGCATCTCACGCCTGGCATGGTGGGGCCCACGAAGATGAGGATGATGGCAGGCCCGGCAAGCACAGTCTCATGTGGTTGTGGCCTGCCATTGTGGACATGCTCAATCTCCTGCCCAGAGCCTCGCCAAGGTGGTGGGTGATGCGTCAAAGTGGTGGGCTTTGGAAGGACCTGCTTCCCAAAGACGACGCAGAGAACTGCCTGTGAAGAGGAAAACGACAAATGATGGGCGCTGCGTCTCCCCCTCGTACGGTAAAACGACAATACCACTCACAAAATGGAATGGAGCCGTACAGTGCAAAATGCCGTAATTGACATTCCGGTTGGAGGTTCGATAGGAGGCAGCCACCACGAGTGGCCTATTCGTTGGGTCCGCCTTTGGCCAAGCCGATCAAATGTGTACGGAGCCACACAGCCCGTTTCCACATGGGCGAAGTTTTCCCTTTCGGGAAAGGAGTATGACGTGGGTGGCTCCCTCATTACACTGACAAATGACCACCATAGGGCCTAACGGGAATGAATCTGTTGAGCATGTGGGACCAGGTACGCGAGCAGTGACCCGCACCTGTGCAATGTTGAGACCGTATTCATTCGGCCACTAGCTAACTTCGTCATTATGGCTGGCGCATTGTGTGGGTGTCAGACAAGTTGAGACAACCAAAAACTTTTTGTTTCGGAGAAGAGGACGGCCTCTGCGAAGTCTTGAAAACGCCCCCCCCTTTTGAAGTCTGAAGAACGAGACTAAGAAACCGTGGAAAAAAAAAACAAAAACAATTCATGTTCTCTTCATGAAACGGCCATCGATTGGTGGAAACTGTGAGGTCATACACTGTCCATGCCTGGAAAATGGCCTCCATGGATACGGGATGCCATCCACGGTTGTCATACGTCACTGGATGCCACACGCGCTCGAAATTGGAACAACAACGTAAAACACTTCGCTAGTGGGTCCGAGCCCCTGGAGATGGGTAGAAATAATTAAAAAAAAATGTAATCCCGGGTGAGAAGAGAGCATGAAAATTATGATGAACAAATTCGCTGGAGCAGAATTATCTATAAAATTAATAAATAAATAAAAATATATATAATATAACATAATTTCCATTAGTAATTTACAGAGCAAAAGATGGCATCAATAACAAGCGCCTGCAGTTTGCTGGTTAGCATAAAAAATGCGTACCTGGCCCTGCTGGGCCGACCCACTCACCAATCACGATTTCACAGCCTGCCGTGAAGGACGCAACAGGCGCCGCTCAATCTACCAAATTAGGAACAGAGGAGGGGGGGAATGAAGTGGGCACACCCTCCCTCACCCAGGGTATGACGACCGGCCAGGGGGAGGATCCGAGTGGGGCAGGTCCCAGTGATAGCACTGATACAACCAGTATAACCAGTGCAAGTGAGAGAAGTGTGACCCAGATTAAAGATCATGGGACCCTTGGGGGCCAATCGTTATCCAACCGGAAGGGGATTTCGGTTCTGAAAGAAACCAAAGAATACTTGGTATTATCCAGCAAGGTATGTCAAGGGGGGGAGCAACCCTCCCTTGCAAACCCTGGACCGCAGGCTGCGGGACAGGAAAGCCCATTTCTCACGGCAGACCTGGAGCAACCTGTAACAGCTCCAGGAGGCGCTGGTCCCTGCGGTGTCGAGTCCATGGAGAAACACACAATTGTCGGATCCCACCTAACCCCAGAAGATACCGACGAAGTCATGAGAGCTCCAGACAATAGGAGCGATGCATGCTCTCAAGAAGAGGAGGGGGGTTTGGAACCGTCAAGATCACCGATGGTACCGTCTGACCAACAGGGCTTAACGGTTGGTAGGATAGGGGATTCAGACGGGTCGACAGATGAGGAAGGTCCTTCCAGAGAGAAGAGGGGGAGAACTCTATCCCCAGGGAAAGGGAGGAAGCAAAAGAGAAACGTAACAGTCACTGCAGGGAAGGCGCAGGGAGTCAAGTACTTGGTTCCACTTATCTGCAGAAAAAACTCGGAAGGCATTGTTTTTCTCACATATAGCATGGGCACGAACATCAAGTTGATTACCCCCAAACCGGTAAACAGCAGCCCATCGCAGGCAGAGATGTTGTTAAAAGTCAAAAATTACTTGGGACGTAACGCCCCGGTTCGTGCAGTACCGGATATGGGAACCAGGAGGATACAGCGGGCAGGTAATGACCACAGCAAAGTGCAGCTGTTCATTGCCCCATTTGACGTCAGACCCAGCGAGGCGGACCTTGAACAGCTGGCTCAGAACRAGGGGGKGTGGTGTCCGCTTCAATGGKCAAAAGACGAAAATTTGCTACATGCAAACATGGTCTATACAGCGGAGGGGATATCGGGGGATGTTCTAATTGAATACAGCCAACAGCTCTCTGCAGACACTAACCTTTTTTCTGCTTACTTCGACAGGCTCCTCTCCTCACCATGGCAGGGCAAAGGTGACAGCACGGAGGTAGGTGAGGAAAGGAAGAGAAAAACCACGCTCTCAACGGCTCAGACGGGTCCGATCACGAGATCCGCGATTGTGGTTACGGTCGGCACTGCGGATGGGGAGACAATTTCCACTTTCCCCCCTGATGACTTCTCCCTTATCCAAAACTTAGAGGGACAGTGCCCAATGAATAAATTAAAAGTGGCCTCCTGGAATATTAGAGGGCTTGGGGATTCAAACAACAAAATGAAATGGGCAAGGCTCAAGACATGGATCCACCAGATGGGAGTCCATGTCATTCTACTCCAGGAGACCTAACTGAACGAAGACAAAATAGAGGAATCAAAGTGGAAATGGCAGGGGCCTCAATTTTGGGCCCCTGCGGAGGGTACCAAAGGTGGCACACGGATTCTTTTTCACAAGGATCTAAATCTGTCAATTGTAGACGAATTCTCGGACTCCCTGGGCTGCTGGTCATGGGTTTCAGTGGCCATCGAGGGTATAGAATGGACCTTTGCGTCGATCTATGCCCCGGTGGACAGACGGGAAAAAATTCAGTTCTTTGAAACCTTACCGAAGATCCTACCTGACAATAGGAATATGGTACTTGGTGGGGACTGGAATGCCATTTTGGATCCGATCCTGGATTCCTCGGTAGCGGACCCCATAAGGAATGATACATTGGCGATGTGGGATTTGATTGAAAGTATGGAGTTGACAGACCCCTTTAGACAGTTGCACCCTCAAGTCTCAAAATTCACATGGGTGTTACACACACCCAGACAGGACAAGACTTACACCAAGCTAAGACTAGACTTCCTACTGGTCAGAGACAAGGCGGCCGAATGGGCCATGGAGGTCTCCATGCCCTTTGACTCCCTCTCTGACCATAGGCCGGTCGTGGCCAGCTTTGTCCCGGATGGGCATATCACACGGGGTAAAGGGTACTATAAATTAAACTAAGAAATCCTCCGGGACAAAGGGCTAGTGACGTCAGTTAAGAAATCTCTGATAAAATTAAGGGAACTTAAACATTTTTATGAGTCTGATACGGAATGGTTAGAGGTCTCGAATAGGATGGCAGCGACGGACTTGAGCCTCGCGTCCCGGTTCAAATCCTTCAACAAGCACATGGAAGAAAAAAATTGCATTCGGAAAATCGAATGGGCGGAAAATAAGTTGGAAACGGATCCCACCAATGGCGCCTCTTGGCTATCCAATTGAAACCACTGGAAGGATGTGTTGGAAAATTTACAAATAGAAAAAGAAAAAGTATGGGCAGAGAGGGCAAAGGTTAAGTGGTTGGATGTCGGGGACAGGATGACAAAGGAAAAATTTAAACGCTTGTCGAAGCGGAAAGGCTCCTCCACGATAGTGGAGCTGGATCACCCCTTCGACACGTTCGAACCTAGAGCAAAGGACACGAAGACTATACTCGAGTATGCAAGGCTATACTTCATGAGTATCCTGACCTCAACGAGGCCGCTTCACCCGGACCCCAGTGATGACGCACT